GAGTAATTACATACAGGAGGGGAGGAGCCACAGCAGGGCCCAACCTCTCCAATCACCTGACTAGAACGGTCACTCACATGTGGTCATGCGGGAATTTCATCCTCCAGTGTTGGCAGGTTTTCCCCTTCACAGTCTGCGAGACCGTTCCACGATATGTCGCCCCATCCCCCGCCACACATCCCCGGACATAGTCTGAGAGATGGACAACAAAACGTTTACATCACCGCAGGGACACCCTCCCTCTCCACCGCAGGGGCACCCTCCCTCCACCGCCACCGCAGGGGCACCCTCCCTCCACCGCCACCGCAGGGGCACCCTCCCTCCACCGCCACCGCAGGGGCACCCTCCCTCCACCGCCACCGCAGGGGCACCCTCCCTCCACCGCCACCGCAGGGGCACCCTCCCTCCACCGCCACCGCAGGGGCACCCTCCCTCCACCGCCACCGCAGGGGCACCCTCCCTCCACCGCCACCGCAGGGGCACCCTCCCTCCACCGCCACCGCAGGGGCACCCTCCCTCCACCGCCACCGCAGGGGCACCCTCCCTCCACCGCCACCGCAGGGGCACCCTCCCTCCACCGCCACCGCAGGGGCACCCTCCCTCCACCGCCACCGCAGGGGCACCCTCCCTCCACCGCCACCGCAGGGGCACCCTCCCTCCACCGCCACCGCAGGGGCACCCTCCCTCCACCGCCACCGCAGGGGCACCCTCCCTCCACCGCCACCGCAGGGGCACCCTCCCTCCACCGCCACCGCAGGGGCACCCTCCCTCCACCGCCACCGCAGGGGCACCCTCCCTCCACCGCCACCGCAGGGGCACCCTCCCTCCACCGCCACCGCAGGGGCACCCTCCCTCCACCGCCACCGCAGGGGCACCCTCCCTCCACCGCCACCGCAGGGGCACCCTCCCTCCACCGCCACCGCAGGGGCACCCTCCCTCCACCGCCACCGCAGGGGCACCCTCCCTCCACCGCCACCGCAGGGGCACCCTCCCTCCACCGCCACCGCAGGGGCACCCTCCCTCCACCGCCACCGCAGGGGCACCCTCCCTCCACCGCCACCGCAGGGGCACCCTCCCTCCACCGCCACCGCAGGGGCACCCTCCCTCCACCGCCACCGCAGGGGCACCCTCCCTCCACCGCCACCGCAGGGGCACCCTCCCTCCACCGCCACCGCAGGGGCACCCTCCCTCCACCGCCACCGCAGGGGCACCCTCCCTCCACCGCCACCGCAGGGGCACCCTCCCTCCACCGCCACCGCAGGGGCACCCTCCCTCCACCGCCACCGCAGGGGCACCCTCCCTCCACCGCCACCGCAGGGGCACCCTCCCTCCACCGCCACCGCAGGGGCACCCTCCCTCCACCGCCACCGCAGGGGCACCCTCCCTCCACCGCCACCGCAGGGGCACCCTCCCTCCACCGCCACCGCAGGGGCACCCTCCCTCCACCGCCACCGCAGGGGCACCCTCCCTCCACCGCCACCGCAGGGGCACCCTCCCTCCACCGCCACCGCAGGGGCACCCTCCCTCCACCGCCACCGCAGGGGCACCCTCCCTCCACCGCCACCGCAGGGGCACCCTCCCTCCACCGCCACCGCAGGGGCACCCTCCCTCCACCGCCACCGCAGGGGCACCCTCCCTCCACCGCCACCGCAGGGGCACCCTCCCTCCACCGCCACCGCAGGGGCACCCTCCCTCCACCGCCACCGCAGGGGCACCCTCCCTCCACCGCCACCGCAGGGGCACCCTCCCTCCACCGCCACCGCAGGGGCACCCTCCCTCCACCGCCACCGCAGGGGCACCCTCCCTCCACCGCCACCGCAGGGGCACCCTCCCTCCACCGCCACCGCAGGGGCACCCTCCCTCCACCGCCACCGCAGGGGCACCCTCCCTCCACCGCCACCGCAGGGGCACCCTCCCTCCACCGCCACCGCAGGGGCGGGCGGCACCCTCCCTCCACCACCGGAGGCAAGTTACCCTTTTTCTGGTAGACGTCGTAGTTGACATTCTTCGTCATGGTGACGAGGGGGGAATTCTGTGTCCATGGCAGCAGGCGGCAGCTGTGAGTCTTCAGGTTGTAGTCGAAGGACCTGCAATATGAGGAAGCCGCGGATCAGTATGACATATCGGAGACACACAGGACAGGAAGCGATGGAAGCAGAGTGGTGGCTGGGGAGGGT